TGGAGCAACAGACTGGTTCCAAATAGGGAAAGGTGTACGTCAAGGCTGTATGTTGTCACCCTGCTTATTTAACTCATATGTAGAGTACATCATGAGAAACGCTGGGCTGGAGGAAGCACAAGCTGGAATCAAGATTGCCGGGAGAAATATCAATAACCTCAGATATGCAGATGACACCACACTTATGGCAGAAATTGAGGAACTAAAGAGCCTCTTGATGAAAGTGAAAGAAGAGAGTGAAAAAGTTGGCTTAAAGCTCAACATTCAGAAAACTGAGACCATGGCATTTGGTCCTGTCGCCTCATGGCAAATAGATGGGGAAACTGTGACAGACTTTATTTTGGGGCTCCAAAATCACTGTCAATGGTGACTGCAGCCATGAAATTAAAAGACACTTGTTCCTTGGAAGAAAAGTTATGACCAACCTAGACAGCATATTAAAAAGCAGAGACATTACTTTGCCAACAAAGTTCCATCTAGTCTAAGCTTTGGTTTTTCCAGTAGTCATGTATGGATGTGAGAGTTGGACTATAAAGAAAGATGAGCACCGAAGAATTGATGCTTTTGAATTATGGTGTTGGAGAAGACTCTTGAGAGTCCCTTGGGCTGCAAGGAGACCCAACCAGTCCATCCTAAAGGAAATCAGTCCTGAATATTCATTCGAAGAACTGATGCTGAAGCTGAAACTCCAGTACTTTGGCCACGTGATGCGAAGTCCTGACTCATTTGAAAAGACCCTGATGCTGGGCAAGACTGAAGGCAGAAGGAGAAGTGGGCAGCAAAGAATGAGATGGTTGGAAGGTATGACCAACTCAATGTGAGTTTGAGTAAACTCTGGGAGTTGGTGATGGACAGGAAGGCCTGGCGTGCTGTAGTCCACGGGGTTGCAAAGATTTGGACACAACTGAGAGACTGAAATGAACTGGAAAAAATCTAAGTGAATTAACCATCTCCTTTGGTGTGTATACGGCCAACCATCTGTGCAGTTGGACTTGGCCATTTGACTTATTGAACGTTACAACATTTGACCTGCACAAAGATTTCAGGTGGTAAGGGGTCTGCCTGCAGCTCAGGGGACATCCAGTCGGTCCCTTGGTCCAGAAGGTCCCCTGGAGGAGGGGATGGTTACCCACTCTTGTTTTCTTGCCTGGAGAATCTTATGGAGAGAAGAAGCTGGCAGACTGTAGTTCATGGTGTTGCAAAGTCTGACACAGTGAGCAACTAACAGTTCCCCTCTCACTTTCAAATGCTTTCCAGGCCCCTAGCTGATGAAGTGAAGGCGCTACCCATGCCTTCTGTTACGCTTTCTTCCCTTGTCCTGTCCAAAACAGCACAGACTTGTTTTTTTCTTTTTGAGGCTTAGCAGTCACCAACTTGAAGTCTCCCCTTCCCTCCATTCCTTTCTGTTTCCCAGCCTTTCTCAAGGAGAGGCTCAGAAACCCTAATTAAACTCAGAGGTTTCACGTGTCCTGTCTCGGAGTGCCCCCGCAGTCAGGAGATGCTGCTCCTCGAGCTGCCTCGCCTCCAGTCCTCCTGCTGTCCGTCACATCACTCTCACTCCGCCTCCCCTAACACCTGCCACCTTTATGGAAGAAGCAGTGCCACTCTCAGCACTCAACGTGGTCCCACCATCCTCCCACCTCTGTGCTATGAAAACCTGGACCTTTCCTTAAAAAAGCTGCAGCATTTCAGTCTGCTCCCTTGAGTCCATGAAATATAGACAATACAAGCTGGCATGTCCAATGGACATAACTCAGGGCTTGATGATAACAGAGTGGGTACAAAAAAGGAGGCGTGAAAGTGGATATCAGAAAACTCATGGGCCTGCCCTCTCCTGGGAAACTCCCTACCAGCCTCTCTTGAGCCTCAGCTCTGCTGTTGTGCTGCTTGGGTGTGCTCATCCTCTCGAGATGTCCTGCCTTGCCTGTCTTTCTCCCCGCCACCACCCCTCCCCCCAAAACCCTACATCTCCTATCTTCAGTTTCAGCCAAAAAGAAATGAAAAAAAAATTCCATCATTAGTTTTGGCACAATCTTGCTCTTGGCCTTTTTATAGGATCTATCACAGCTGGTAGGAAGGTCTGTCATTCAGTGTTACAGCATTGTTCAGAACTTCCCCATTATTTATTTAGCTGTTAGACATTTGACTTAAATTTTCATGACTAAAAAGCTCACCAAAACAGACTCTCTTGGGACAAAGGAAGAGACTGCCAGTTTATTTCAGCCTATATAGTGACAAAAGAAATGCTACTTGTTATAAAGCAACACAAAGTCAGCAACACGCTCCAGATGACATCCTTTGGGAGAAGAACGTGGAGCAGGTTAAGATGTAAGCCTCCAGGTCTGAGGCAAGACCGAGGACCAAGGAGTGGGATAGACTGGCTTTGAGACTGTTTCATTAGCTTGATGGTTATTTTGCCTCTGGTTTTACATTTGTTCCTAGGGATTATGTACATACATTTATTGTTGTTTAGTCACTAAGTTGTGTCCGACTCTTTTGAGACCCCACTGACTGTATCCCACCAGGTCCCTCTGTCCTTGGGATTTCCCATGCAAGAACACTGGAGTGGGTTGCCATTCCCTACTCTAGGATATCTTCCTGACCCAAGGATCAAACCTAGGTCTCCTGCATTGGCAGTCAAATTCTTTACCACTGAGCCACTAGAGAAGCAAATACATAAACATATATATACATATATAACTAAATATACATATATTTGAAATGAAAGAGAATTACTTGTTTTTCTTTATTTATATGAATGTTAATTTAGGTATAATTCTAAAACACATTTTAGTCACTTAAAATTATGTTTTTAAAACTTTATGACAATACATAGCTTCACATTGTTTTCAGCTTCTGCATATCATTACATTTTACAAGCATAATTACTATAATTTCTGCTCATTGCCATTTTAATAGACATTTAGTTGTTTCCATTATATAAGACAGTGGTTCTTACGTACACATACAGCAGTTCTTTTGGAGACACATGTATCCAGAAATGAAAATGCTGGCTAATGGGATATGAAGATCTTCCTCTCTACTAAGTATCATTGAATTGATCTCCAATAGTCTTATACAAATTTACTTTCCCAACAGTGAGGGACAAGAGTTCCCATTTCCACATGTCCCTGTCAACACTGGCTTGGTCGTCATAGCAGGGAATATCTAGGGGACTCCTAAGTATTAATCTGTGAAAAGGAATCATCTATACATCTTAATTACTTTATACTGTAAGAAATGTAAACATGATTGTGTGTATTTATGTTTTCTGCTGTTCCTATCATCCTATATCATACAAGAATAAGAGCAAATTTTATGAATAGCTGGTCATAAAAGTAACTGCTACAGGTGGGGAATGGTGTGTACATGGACTGTAATTTAGTGATAAATAACTCCTTTCATTCAGTGAGGCTCATGGTATCATCTGCTAAACTGTGAATCCACTTTTAGCAATTTTGCAGCACTTAAGGCATGCATTTTCTATGTATTAATCTTATCTCTGGCTTTATAATTTCCCATACTAAAGGTCATTATAAAATAATGCAGGGTGTATATTAATTAGTTAAAAGGAAATATGGGAATAAATATCATTAGTATAAATTTTTTTCCAGAGTTGTTTAATTTGAAACTACACTGCTAAATGTAAGATATCCAACCTCTTAATGTAAATTAGATGTTCCTTCTCTAGGAACCTGCAACTCCTATCTTAGCAGCAAATTATTCGCACTTTCCAAATTCCTGTTAAAGTGCATTTCTTTACTATCTTATTTCAATCTGCCCTTTTGAAACAGTGCTTCATTCATTCTTTTAATAATCATTCACTGGCTTTTTACTATGCTCATAGCATCATGGAACCTACTGAGATGTACGGATATGGCCTTCACTCTAGTGGAGGATCAAACATAGAGATGCAATATTCCTTTCACTTTTCAAAAGAATCAGTTACCACATCTTGAGAATAAAATGATGTAATTCATCTGCTCTCTGAAAAGCAAAGCTATTCAGAATCAGTAATGTGTCATTCAAATGAGCAATTCTTTGTTTCACAGGTACATGTCTAATTTTACTTTCCTCTGATACTTAAAACAGAAAAATAATAAGTATTCTTTCTTAAATAATGAAAGAATAGTATACTGGATCATGCTTCTTGGTTGCTAATAAGAGGTTTGTTGCTCTCTTTTTGCCTACTTAAAAAGATACTGATTTAAAGGACTAGAGAAAAATGGAAAAGAATCCTAGATACAGGGAAGAATCCATGTGAAACTAAGAGAAGCTGGTTCTGAACAAATATATCTAGAGAGGACCCAGTGCACCAAGATGACATAACAAGGACTCCTAATTTAGAGTCCTGTACACAGATCCCCTGGGACAAGGCGTATCCCATGGTCAGCAGATTGTAAAGTCCAAGGCAGAAACAAAGCTTTAGTTTGTGTATAGAAGCTCTTTTGTAATGTTTAGCCTTATGCGTTTCCTTCAGGTTAGATGAAGTGAGGTCGAGTGGAGTAACCCTTCTGTACTGTGCTCTGTCTTCTGGCATTTGCTTGATCTGTTGTGTGCAATGCAAACTTTTAACAGTTCATAATGGATCCTTTAAAGAGTCTAAAAGTAACGGGAATATTCTCAAAGGTTCTGGCTCATTCCAGGCTATGTTAGTAGAAAAAAGAGCATTACAAGCAGAAAACTGTACTCTGCAGACATGTGACAAATCAGCAATTATTTACTGAGGTGTCCTTCAGGTTGTATGTCTATGTGCATCTCTTAGAGAGAAGAGAGAGAAAGGAAATTGGAGCTCCCAAGTAGATTGGCAGGGAGAATTAAGAAGCCATAAAAATCTTCACAAACCCCAGTGCTTCCCACCAAAAACTGCTTTACCATTTTGAAAATCCCTTTATTTCTCCCATTATTTTAAATATACTTACCGTGTGCCTGGGCCCTTCTGCCTTGCTCAGTGTGGTTGCGCTGCCCTCCCAGGGTCTGCCTCCGTCTTCAGACATCACCCAAATACTGCAACAAGCCCTTCGGTCGCTGCAGCCGACGCCCGGCAGTGCTCTGCATGCAGCTGCCTGCGTTGACAGCAGCCGTATCACCAGAGCCTGCGCCGCTGCAGCAGCGCCGGCCGCAGGAGACAACTGTTTTCTGCAGCACCTTGCCTTCACATCTCCAGCCTGGAAAATCACCTTCCCCGAGCTTGGACCATCCCCTCCCCCAATAGCTGTGTTCCCAAGAAACTGAGACAAGTGTTACAACAAATCTGCATCAAACACATAAACAACACACGTTAGAATTAATTTATGTCAAATGGTGCATGTTTAGTATTTTCTCCTGGTGCTATTTATAGGCTAGATCACCCTGAAAATGTTACCGCATTTAAATGCATGCTTTGCAAAGTGGTAACTAAAAGAGTGGCACATATGCCACGAAGAATGTTGCTTCGCTGAATGGAGGTAGAAAAGGAAGGCCTGTGTTTATTATTATTGCACATCCTTTATCTTATTGTTGTCTCATGCAGGTCCTGACCCATTGTAGGCATTTGTGAAATATTAACTTCAAGAATGAATAGATGTTACAAAAAGCATTGTTTCTGCTTTGGGACTTCTCCCTTTTCTTCTTTTGTCTACAAGAAAATGTATGAACTGTGAAAATTGATGAGCATTATAATCTTGCTCCTGACTTCAAATTATAGTCAGTCGTGATTTGAGTAAGATGTATACAAGCATGCTTTGTGTTTCTGGCATAACAAGAAATAACTGCATTGGCTTAAAATGAAGTGTATTTATGCTTTGTATAGCTGATTATTTTTCTTTGGAAATCTCCTTAGTCATGTTTCTCTAGCAATAGATTCTAATGCAGTATTGTCAATAGAAATATATTTTAAGGCACATACTTATTTAAAATTGTCTAGGTGTGTGTGTGTGCTCAGTCATGTTTGACTCTTTGTGACCCATGGACTGTAGCCCACCAGGCTCCTCTCCATGGGATTCTCAGAATACTGAGTGGGTTGCCATTTCCTCCTCCAGAGGATCTTCCCAACCAGAGATCAAACTTAACATCTCTTGCATCTCCTGCATTGTCAGGCAGATTCTTTACCACTGAGCCACCTGGGAAGCCACTTAAAAAATTTAAAAGAAACAGGCACAATTAATTTAGATAATATATTTTACTTAACTTTTTCAAACATATTGTACTTCCAACATGCGGCATTAATCAAATTTCAAGTGCTCCATAACTACATGTAGATAGTGGCTACTATGTTGGACATAGAAATTCCAGAGTATTTATTCAGAAAAAGGGTTAACTGGTCCCATATTAAAAGTTGTATGTTAATCTTACATGTTTGTTTAAGAATATATGCTCTAAAATAATTTTGAACTTCAATTTTTAATTTGTATTTTAAAAATAGAAGTGTGGAAGGCAAAAGGATAAGGGGGCAACAGAAGGTGAGATGGTTGGATGGCATCACCAACTCAATGGACATGAGTTTGAGCAAATTCCAGGCATGCTGCAGTCCATGGGGTCACAAAGAGTTGGACATGACTTAGTGACTAAACAGCAACAACAACACATTGATAGGGCAAACAGATTGAAATTATACTGGAAATCATAAATGAAAAGTAGAAGATTATCTTTTCCCCTTGCACTAGTTCCTACCCCCCCCCCACCAAGTCATCACTGTTAACTTTTATATGTATGTTTTTAGGTTAAAAAAAAAATGCTTGTATGTATAACATGGGAATATATTACTATATTAAAAGCTTCTACATATACAAATCTTATACAAACAGACCTGTACTGTGCTCAGCTTCAGTGGTAAAAAGAGAGAAGTTAAATGAGCTACTGGGATGTACTCATTAAGATGGCAGAGATTAAAAGGACTGACCGTGCCAAGTGTTGACAGGACACGGAGCAGTGGTAGCTCTTATGCACTGCTGGCGATTCTTTCTTTAATTTACTGAAGTTTTATTGTTGATGTACAATTTAACTTCTGCTGTACAGGAAAATGATTCTGTAATACGTGTATATACATTCTTTTTCACAGTGTTTTCCGTTATGGTTTATTTTAGGATATTGGATAGATTTCCCTGTGCTATGCCGTAGGACCTTTTTGCGTTTCCATCCTATATTTAATAGTTTGCATCTGCTAACCCCAGACTCCCAACCCCTCACTCCCCCTCCTCCTGGGCGACCACAAGTCTGTTCTCCGTGTCTGTGAGTCTGTTTCGTGGATAAGTTCTTTGTGCATACACTTTCCTTAATACGTTTTAGCATATCCCCCCCCTTTTTTTAGTTTTTACTCATAAGTCTCTCTCAGGCTGTTTTGCTGGTCACATTTCTTTCAAAGGTCTATTTTGCTACTACAGAGCAGCACTAGTCCACTGCTGACTAGTCTGTTTCTTTTTCCTACACATGCACTTTGTTGATCTTCTCTAGTCTTACAGCTTTAATTACAAGAAAAATTTTGATTATTCCAAAATATACAGTATGTCTAACTATCTATTTACATGGCAGCCTGAATGGAAGTGGTGTTTGGGGGTGAATAGATAAATGCATATTTGTGACAAAGTAGCTCTGCTGTGAGCCTGAAACTATTGCAACATTGTTAATCAACTATTCTCCAATAAAAAATAAATTTAAAAAAATGGAGCACAGTCTACAAAGATTTAAGAGGAAATCAAGAATTATCCAGGAAAGTTATATGCAGCCAATCTGTCTGCTCCTACAGTTTTTTCAGTATTTATGTGGTTGTCCAAAGACAGTAGGCATTTCCCGCCATATAAGTGATTTGCATTCCTTGCCTAGATGACTGAAGAATACTTTCTTTAGCCTTGAATTTCAAGAAGTTGGCTATCATGTTAGAAGCTAATTGTTTTGTAACACTTCTTTTAGAAGCACATAATCTTTTGATCCATGCATTCATTTATTCTTTTATATAAGGAAAATGTTCTTTTAGAGGTATTTTTCTCTGTTCCATTAGTTGTGCTCTCTACTTTAGATTCAAGGGTTATCCTAGGTGTGATTGTTATTACCGGCTCTCTACTATCTTCCTTCTGATTACTTTAATAATTTTATTCTGTTCCTCTGCATTCACATTATTATCTCAAGACTTTCTGGATTATCTTTCACGTCATCCGTTTTACTATATTACCTGGTATAATCTAGTTATTGGAATTACTATTATTTTCAAATTATTTCTTAGTTCTCTAACGCTGTTTTTGCTCCTCCAATCTGGTCCTGAGCTTGGCATTTGCATTTTACTCAGCTATTTTATCATTATAATCTTAGTATTTTGATACTTTGGGCTTGTGTTTTCTCTCTTTAATTTCCTTTTTGGTAAGGAACAGTAAGAGTTTTTAATTTATTTTCTTAGATAATTTTTCCTTCAAGAGTTAATTTTTTACTTCACTTTCATATACCATCATTTCTTTGAATTTCCCTTTCAGCCAACTTCTTTTTTTCTTATTCTCTTTCTTTCATCTCTCACTTCTCTCATTTCTTCCTTCCTTTTTCTTTTCAATAGCATCTTTGCTGTGTTAAAATATAAGATCTTCTATAGTATGGATAATTCCTCTATGATTTTCTTTTTTGACTTGACATAAAATTCACAGAGCTCTAGTTTAATACCTTGTTTTTCCACAATCAATCATTGTGTAGCCCAGCGCCATGAAGATCAAGAGTAGAATTCAACGTGGACGCCCTGATACCTCACTTAGAGGACTTGATTTCTGTGCCCCCACCGTCTTTAATTTTTGTGGAACACTTTGTGTCCATTTCAGCGTCCTAAGTTGGTTACATATCCTGTTCCTGTATTGAGGTGGTAGCCCTTGTACCCAAGGTCAAGTGGGCCGGGGGCCTGTCTCTGCTGCCGTGGAGGTCTGGCTGGGTAATTCTTCTGTCACTCCTTCCCGCTGCCATCTCCGTATTCTCACCGAGCACAGGGACAGAAGCACATTTGGAAGCTGTTGCGTGGGCCCACAGAATTTCTAGACTGGTTAGTCTATGCACCGGAGGCTTAGAACTTGAGGGGCTGGGGGACCGCCTGCTAAGGGGGACTAGGAGACCACCGTCATGGTGTCTAGACCCGTGGCCTGCGGCGCGTCCATTTTGCTGGGCCTCACGCCTCTCTCGCAGGGAATCTGCCTTGCTTTTCAGCTCTTCGTCTCTGCCTGCTTTGCCTTCCAGCTGGAGACAGTTAACTCTGGGAAGGGCTTCATTTGGTCCTTCCTTTAAACCTCCTTCCTGCCGGGAAAACCTAAGCGAAGCCTTAGACATTCTCCTGCTCCTTCTGAGCTGTGGCGCAGCAGCGAGGGGCTCAGGGCTAGAGCTTCTGTCCACGTTTCTCCCGGCCTGCCCGCAGATCTCTGCAGTGCGCTTTTCAAGTTGGGAGGGGGTGTTTTAAAATCAAAGGATTCAAGACACAGGAAGAGATCTTAAAATCATGTGTTATAGTGTTCTCCAATGAGTAGCATAGGCAGTTATTCAATTTCTGTGTCAGTTTTGATAGTGAGCACTGATAATTGCAAATAGAATGAGATGCCTAAGTGTATGCAGCTAGCTACCAAGATATCCCTGACTCTGATTTCTTAACACCCTTATCACTATACTTCCATTACACCATGTTATATTTTCCTACTCAAACCCAGAAGACAATAAAGAGAAATTTAAAGTATTTGTATTATTTTTAACTCAATTAGTAAATTTTTAAACCAATTTTTCAAAAGTGCTTCATAAACAATCTAACATATTTTGGTCAGCTAATCAGGAGCAGGCATTTTAGTTTGCAGATTCATGCTGTTATAAATTGAGATAGTCTGTCCAATTTTTTTTTTTTTGCCTTTTTGTGAAGAGGCAGAGGGAGGTTTCATCACATTTCAAAGGCCTGTCGTGTCTGACCATCAGTGTGCTATTATTACACTTAATGTCTCTTTCCTCAAGAGGGAAATCTTTTTCTTTTTTTTAATCCCCTGTCACTTTCCAAATCATCATTTTCGAGAATCTACCAATCAAAGGAAATTGTGATTCTTTGAGCCTCTCAGCTGTACTCTTTGTAACCATGGAAACCAAGCCAAACTGTTACCAAGCTAACCTTCCCAAAGCTGTGATTTCAGTCTCATTAACAAATTTTCTTAGACTTAATAAACCCACTGAGTGTTGAGCATAAATAATACTGTACTTGTAGATATTTTATGGACTAGAGTATGATTATTTTTTAATTCTTATTTAAAATTCCACATTACTGAATTTATGGTTCAAGATGGACGAACAAGCACAATCATGTGGCAACGTTTTGAGCAATTCACTGAGTTTCTGAAAAGAAAATTAATTGGACCCTGATGCTGCGAATGTTTTCCCTTTGGCACATGTTTAGCAGTTTGAGGCCACTTGTCTGCTTTTCCGCCATACAACTTGATTCTTTATTGTGGTATGCCCTAAATGTTAATACTGGTCCGTTTGTATAATCAGCATTTGGATAAAACACAGAGGACATGGTTATAGATAAATGACAGAAGATAAATTTTAGAAACCTTGAAAACATAAAAGAAATTGTGTGTATTTATCATATAATGTTTGGTGAAAGCAAGTGGGATTTTATTAGATGTGTGCGTACATTCTCAGTTGCCAAGTGGTGTCCAATCCCATGGACTGTAGCCTGCCAGGTTCCTCTCTCCGTAGGATTTCCAAGGCAAGAATACTGGATTGGGTTGCCATTTCCTTGTCCAGGGAATCTTTCTGACCCAGAGATCAAACCCACATCTCCTGCTTGGCAGGTGAATTCTTTACCATTGAGCCACCAAGGAAGCCCTTTATTAAATAGCTAATCCAATACTGTTGATTCAAGAGGTACTTTTTAAGTTGACAAATCAGCAATCTAAAGCATAAGCTTGTTTTAGAATAATCTTATAAATATTTTCATATATGTATGTTTAGATATTTGAATGTTTTAGATTATTGTAAGTATATCTTCTGATATCCATCTTGAAAAAAATGTAAATTGTTACAAAGATAATGGAACCAGTAGTTTGAAGTTAGGATATAAGACTCATATTTTAAAATGTTTGTATGCCTTGGCATTTATCACTAAACATTTTAAATAAATAGCAAATTGAGATTTTTTGTTGTTTTTCTGAATTTTGAATTGGCGTTTTTCACAGTAGAGAGGAATGTCTAAGAATTTTTATTTCTCTCCAAATTGAATATGAACATAAGCACTTGTACTTTAGGAGGGTCCTATACCCCATAAATGTTTCTCTTCTTTTCAGCTTGTCTCTTTATTTCATTTTTTCTCTTAGGAAGAAAGTACACAGGCACATATCAGTGGACCCAAGACCCTCAATTTGGATCATGAGCATGAAGGAGGGCCAACACATGCACTGCTTGTGTATGAATGAGGAAGTGACCCCCAGTGGTCAGAGTACCAAGAGGAAACAGAAGCACCTTCAAAATAGAATAAGGTCAGAAATGTTCTTATTTGCAAAGCCATTATTTCTGAATTTGTTGGTGTGGGTACCTAGGACAAATACCCCTCAGTCTCCTAGTCAGCCCCAAAGGGACAAGTGTGTGACTTTCAACAGGAGCCCAGAAAGAGAGAGGCAGATGGGGCCAGCTGACAGACGGGGGATGCAAAAGAGAAATGGCTGCTCTGACTCCTCTCTCCCTTGACCTTCCCGTCTCCATGCTTCTCTCTGGGTCAAGCTCCAACAGGAAGCTAGGAGGTTCGATTTTGTAGAACAGAGAAATCCGTTTTTCTGAGTAGAAAGCAAGGTAGGGAAAGGAGGGGGTGGACAGAGAATGGATTTTTAGGTGGAAAAGGAAAATATCTGTCATGAAACCCCTACCTTGAGACCCTTTTGTGATTTTGTTAGAAATGGGATTTTACTGTCATCTGTCAGGAAAATTGTAATCAGTATATGACTCTGCCTTGTCTAAAGTATGTATGGCCTTCATTATATTTGGCAGTATTGTACACTGTACCACTTGCAAAACCATGGATTGCTGCCTTATACTTGACTAAAGAGACTCCATTACTGGTATCTTTTATTATTAATGCAATGCTGACCAGCAAAAAAGAGGCTACTATGAATTTAAATTTCATTGCATCATCAAGGTCACACTATGGAATTCATAAGGTGGGAACTATCCCATCAAGCTGCTTCAGGTCCCAAAACTCCACATGGGAGAATTCCTTTGAATTCCATCTTCTAGGACCCTTATTTATAATACTTATTTCCCTGGTTGGAGAAGCACACACACAAAATGATTCTTACCCCAGAAATCATGACTTTAAATAAAGATTTCTGCTTTTAAAAAATCGGGGACACCACTAGAGTCCTTGGCTCACTTGAAAAAAAAAAAAATACTTGAAGGAGGAAAAGGGGAAGGAAGAAAATTTGTATGTCTTGTTAACCTAAAGCAAACAGGCCACCAGTTATTTTTCCAGCAAAAAAAATTATTCAGGGTAAACAGAGAATTGCGATTTGGGGTCTTCAACCATGGTGAGACACGTGGAAATCCCCAAAGAATGGAGCGGACCGCTCTTTCGGAGAGGGAAAAGGGAGCTGGCAGGCTGCAGAGAGAGACCAGGGCTTTCCATCCGCCGAGCTGCGACTGTGTCTCATCGGCTGAGCTTCTAGGCAGGCAAGAAGGGGAGTCGATCTTCTTCCTGTCGGGCTCTGCTATTGTGGCAGGGCAGGGTAACTCTGCCTCTATTTAACTGATGTTTTATTAATCTTTATACCCTTATCATCTTTTGTATCAGATGTTATGAGAGAGATTGAATGTATCTAATTAATCACCTTAAATTGACAAGGCGAGTAATTTTCTATTTTACAAGTGCAGTGTATGTTTTCTACAAAATTTGGTTCATGTTCTTTGATTGTAACACAGTTAAAGGTGATTATGAGTTAAAAAATAACCAATGTTAGGAGAGGAAAAGGATGTGTGAAAGTGATAGACTAGATCAATGAATTTCTAAATGTGTCTTGAGAAATCTTCATATTGCAAAAGCAGGCCTCAGGGGCTTCTGAGTGTGAAGGACAGGATGAAAGGTGCAGAGTGTGGCTAGGTGGGGGCTCAGGATGGGGCAGGGTAGGGTGTGCAGAGTGGGGCTGGGAGCAGGTGCAAAATGGGGCGGGGTGCAGGGTGCATGTGAGACTGAGCAGAGAGACTGTATTCCTTCTCTCCTTTCAAAGAGCAGCTTTGATTGGATCTGCTTTCAAAATTTTCTTAATTATAAGTGGTATAGAGATTCTAAAAGTTGTATAATCAGTTTCTTAATATTCTCTCAAAATCACCTGTGATTTATTAGTGGCATAAAGCTTTCAAATAGTATTACAATTAAGGAGAAATGAAGCAATGATCAGCTTGCTGTTCACATAAAAACCAGCATTGCCTATTTTGTTCCACAAACAAAGGTTCATTAACTCATTTAAAGCCAGACACTTCATTAAACAAACATGTGATCAGATACAAGCAGTTCTTTCCGGAGGTGAAAGTGAGAAATGGTAGACCGTGACCTCCCAGGCTAAAGATTCTTTTCATGTTCCTTCTTAAGATCTGGCATTCATGGATTCTTTTGGGTCTATCTTTTTGATCATCCTCTTACATTTACCAAGAGAATGGTTTTGAAGAATTTGCCGAATTAATAAGCAATCATAACCCGTCCAGTTATTGTATGAATATTGCCTTTCAGTGCCTCTGCTGAGTCTAGAAATGATCTGTAATATTGCCCAGGAAGGTGGAGGTGTGAGCCCTGCCTATCGAGTTACACAGAAAGCCTTAAGTCACCCTGTCACCAAGATAGCTTGAAGAAAGAGTGAGGGAAAAAATAATTGTTTTACCTCCTCATTTAACTACCTTTATTAAATGTCTTTTAATTGAAATATAATTGGCATAAAACTTCATGTTGGTTTAAGGTATAGAAAAGATAATGCAATCTGATTACCACCATAGCCTTAGCTAACACCTCTTTCATGTCACATAATTATTTCTTTTTAGTGGTGGGGACAGTTAAGATCTAGTCTCTAAGCACCTTTGGAGATTATAATATGGTACTGTTAACTGTAATCACCACATGGTATATTAGCTTTCTAGGACTTATTTGTCCACTATTTCCAAGTCTGTGCCCTTATATAGCATCTCCCAGTACCCCCCTCCCCCCATCCCCATCCCTTGATACCCACCATGATGCTTTCTGTTTTCATGTGTTCAGATTCCACATCTAAGTGGTACCATACAGCATTTCTCTGTCTGACTTATTCCATTTAGCCAAATGC